AAAAAATTTGCGCGTTTCTTTGCTACCTTTTGGCACTCAGGTAGAGAAGGCAAAGCACATTTTCCTGAAGCTTATAATCTACAGTTAAACAACAAGAGACGTGATAACCGAAAGCTCAGGTTTGTAATAAAAAAGGGCAGACTTTGTTATTTGTGGATTTGAATTAGAAAATAATTTGTATGTATCAGAATTCAAGGGCGTAGGAAAAAAAAAGGAATTATTTATTTATTTATCTGCTTGTTTAAAGATTTATTGGCGAAAAGCGACTTTTACACATGCAAGAGTTTTTCTCTCATTGTATTGCTGCTATTTTTCATCAAGAAATCTTTGTGAATATTGCGCTATTCACTTTAAAACAGGAGTTTGAAACCCAGTCATCACAACGACAGTAAGAAAATGAAAGACAAAAATAAAATGATCGAAATCCACCTTTTGGCCCTTTGAAGAGGTCCGCGAAAGTATTTGAAGTCAGTGTGAAACGTAGTCATTTCGGGTCAGTTTGAACTTTTGGGTTGATGAAGTGTTCAACGTCCTTTCAGTTCATTTGATGTTTGAGTGCTCAAAGCCACGTCTTTAGAGGTAGCCTGTGCGGCCAGAAATGTAACAAAGTCGTGAAGGGCTACTTTACCTAAGCTTGGTGAATAGTACAGACTGTTAAAAGGTCAGCAAAGGAGGACCATCAGAAGGTAACTTCCTTTTTGAAAATTTAATCAAATGACTTCAATCATTAAACTTTAAACAGAAAATCATGTCCTCTTCTCGCTGTACTAGAAGAGGACATGATTTATTCGTTCTTAGGAAAAATTGTTATGAAATAAAAAAGGATGTAAAAAAGAAGCCAATTTGCTTGACGACAATTTTATTTGGAGAAAAAAACTGTAAAATGCGAGGAGCACGAGGTTATTGAAGAAATGAAATTAGGTCATAGTGTTACGGCCGGGGAAGACGTAAGTCGAACGCCTAACATGCGACCCTTAAAACGCCTACTGTTCCTTTGTGCCTCTGTTCCTCTGTGCCCGCTGTTCCTCTGTGCCCACTGTTCCTCTGTGCCTCTGTGCCTACTGTTCCCCTGTGTCCACTGTTCCTCTGTTCCTCTGTGCCCACTGTTCCTCTGTGCCTCTGTACCCACTGTTCCTCTGTACCCACTGTTCCTCTGTGCCTCTGTACCCACTGTTCCCCTGTTCCTCTATGCCTACTGTTCCTCTGTGCCCACTGTTCCTCTGTGCCTCTGTACCCACTGTTCCTCTGTTCCTCTGTGCCTACTGTTCCTCTGTGCCCACTGTTCCTCTGTGTCTACTGTTCCTCTGTGCCTCTGAGCCTACTGTTCCTGTGTTATCCTGTGCTAACTGTTACTCTGATAACGTCAGTCAGGTCGTCGTACACGAGCCATAAGCCTAGTTTTCTTTTGCCAGGGGTCTCAATATTTCCGAGACGAAGTCAAGGGAAACATTGGGACCCGAGGGAAAACAAAACTAACTGTTTCGCGAGAGTTAAAGCCGACATTAAGTGCTTCGTTATACATTCAGAGGACGAACATGGTAAACAAGAAAACAATGAGCGTTCATGGCAGAGCATATTTATTTCTTGTAAACACTGCAGACCTACCGTAATTTCGGAGTCCTTCAGCTCCACCAATTTTTTTTTTTTTTTTTCATTTCGTCTTTCGATCAAAAGAAACGAGTTATTTTTCGACCACAGACTGTTCCACTGTGTTTTTCAAGAACTAGTGGAGAACAAGCAACAAATCAACCTTAATACTGTCTGGAATCGCGCCGAAAGGTTCAGGGAGGGAGAGTTTAAAAAAATTACACGTATAATTACACCACCGGTCTCAGTCACATTCTAATCACGTGAAAAACTTAGACGTTGATCGCATTCATTAAATGTATTCTCCACGTGATTCAACTTTGACATCTTGTTCAAATTGTATCCCCAGCGGAATACATTGTGATATATTCAGGCTCATGTGACTATTAATTAGCCAAAAACAGTCGTCTTAAAGGGAAAAATGAGGTTTAAAACAGCGCAAATTGATCGAAATATACAGTTTAAGGCTGGCTATCAGAAAAACCGAACCTCATTTACACTATATTGTATTCGGGTAATTGCTATGTAAAGTCGGTTTTATCTGGGCCCGATAATCACGCTTGTTTGACTCAGACGGACGAACAAATTTCGAGAGGCGTGAGTAGTCCAGTGGTCAGTGTGCTGGACTCTGGGTCGGACGGTCCGGGTTCAAGTCCTGGCTGGGGCATGACGTTGTGTCCTTAAGCAAGACACTTCACTCACATTGCTTCTTCTTCTCGGATAGGACGCAAAACCGTAGGCCCCGTCTCCTGCAGGGTTGGGGTAGGAGACGTTAATTTCCCACGCACGATGTGTGTTGGATGTCCTCCCCTGGGGAGGGATGGGTTGTGGGTGTAGGGGACTTATGTCCTATTGTTATGCACCTGTACTTGTACTTGTACTTGTACGAATCCATTAAATAAATAAATAAATAAAACTTGGGCTATATCCTGGTGTACCGGTTAACCAAAATATGTCCTGGTGTGCCGGTTAACGAAACTTGCGTGACATCGGTCAATCGAATGATAGTGGTACAGCAGGATGTAGCCCAAACTTGACACTTACGTGACTTTTTATTAGAAAGTTGACGAGTGGTGATATAGCAACTGTAAGCAATAGTTTTTTGGCTGCAAGTCGATTAGCGGGCTCATTGGTGAACCTCAGCGTCGCAGAAAGGAAAATCATTTTTTGTGTGTCTATGGTGGTCGCCTCTTCAAGCATTGTGTTTCCTTATGTACAGTCGGCTTGCCTGTGTGGCTACCTGGAGGGCTTATGCAAACTTTCCAAAGCTGATTCAATTTAAAGTGACTAGTTTGCATTGAAAATGATCTACTTTGTGCTTTGTGGAACCATATTGTTCCACGATCAACGAAGAGAATTGTCTTTTTACGAGTCAATGTAAGTATTTTTCTATTTACAACACAATTAGTACAGTCTGTAATTGTCTTCGTATCATCATCCTTCTTAACAAGTACCAAGATGACACAAGTTTTGTATTCTTCATTAATGCACGTATGATTTGTGTTTATGTTGATAGTGACGTAGTGGCAGTACATTACTTTGCACTGAATTCTCATGATAAGTTGACTGACGCAAGAGTAACTGCTCAGAGTTGCTTGGTAATATCTTTGTACCTAAGAGTTAAAAAAAATCAAAATAGTCTGGTTGCCCTTAGAATACGGAATTTTATTCAAGAACGATTGAAGTTTCGAGCTCGCCAGAGCGATTCAATCGCTCTAACGAAGGGCAACAACTCTAAATTAGATAAACATAAATTACCCTGTGATACCATTCCACAGACGCAGCACCACGGTTTCTTTCCCGACATGTGTAAGAAGCCGCTCCTGGTTTTCTTGTGCTAAACAGAATGCGTGACACTTTATTTCAATCATCTGACTCTGATTAAGTAGAATCTAAAAATTGAAGCTGAAATTGTAATTGTAAAGTATCTTTTGAGTATTCAAAGGCTGTTTTTTGATGTATAGATGAAAACAGAGGTTAAGGTACGATTCTCGGTTCGGTATTGTCAAATTGGATTTTCCGATGTTTCATTATGATCTACACGACGGCTCAACTGGGAGATATCAGCGTGATGTTCAGGAGATGTTTGTTATCAGATGGCATTTTGAAATAGTTCTCCCGAATTCTCTCTTTCGAATTCCTTTTTTCACCTTCTCTCAGTCAAAACATGTTTTCAACCTTTTTAACTCACACGTCAGTTTTAATAAAAAGGTTTTATTGGGTTGTTAGTCACATGCCCTCAAAGCTGCAATTATGCCTACTCTTGGGGTATTATATCAACAGAAAATAGTTCATGTAAATTTATTAAGTGCCATTATATCAAAGACTGGAAACTTGAAATAGTAAATATGTTGGCACTTTATGTTTCACGTCAACTGAAGACAAACAAAGCTCAGTAAGGGTGGGAGTGCAATAAATTGTATCAGAACAGACAGTGGAGCCATCAACAGATTCATGGGGTACAATGACAAAAAACACATAACTTTTAATTCCGTCGAAATTAACAAAGATACATTTTCTTTTACCAAAAGAGGCTAATCAGTAAGCAATCAATTGTAATATAATCATTACTTGACATCAGTCATAAAAATAAATGACATGTTGCTAAATTATTAAGATTTAGAGTCAAAAGCTAACAATTCAAAGTCAAACTGAGAAAAAATAATAGGTTTTGATATAGAATATTCCTGTCACATTGCGACTGGTCTATCAGCATTTTCTATGAAAGCTACCTCTATAACTTTATAAATGTGTAATTTTCACGGTTTTCTTATTCACAGTGAAATGATGAAATCTAAACAGGGATACCATATAATACCAAGTTTACATATCCATCGTACATTCTACCAAAATTACTTCTACCAATTATTTAGTTGGTAAACATTGCTATCACATAAGACACTCACACAATTTAAAATATCATGATGCAAATAAAGAACAAAAGATTTATAAGACACAGTTTGTCCCAAGCACCATTTCTAACGATTCCAACACAATATTCCTATAATGTTTTCGACTTAATAGGAAAAAAAATTACCGTGTCAATTGTTTGATTATTGATGAAGAACAAGGTTCCAAACCAGCTTTGCGAGATTTCCTGAGGCATTTGTCTTCTATTTCAGGAAAACGTTTGAACTAAAGGATTCCATCTGGACTTACTGGTTTTCCATGTTGTGATATAATCATTTGATGATATCAATCCTTACAGAAATGTGATATTTCGGTACTTTGTTTAAAATTTCCGTCAAAAGCTAACATAGAAGAAATATACTACTACTGGATAAGTTAATATATGAGTTATTCTCTCAATTATCATTTACACATTTCAGTTAAATGTTGAAGATTCTAAATAGCGCTACCATGTATTACAAAGTTTACAAATCCTTTGTACATTTCACCAAAATTACCTATACCAATTATTTGGTTGGTAACGGCACTGTTCTAAATTACAGCTGTTAACAGCTATTCAAAGAATTTCAATGCTCTTTCCTTGACGAGGCTGTACAAAAGTGGCATAACACTGCTCAATAACACGACTCAGTTTCGGAAAAGTTCTATTTTCTGGAAAGAACAATGGAATTTTTGGTCTAGCCCACGTTAAACTTTGTCACGTAGATTATTTGAAAACTGGTACTGAAGGATAGCAAGAGATTCTGCTTACGTAATCTAATTAAAAAACCGTGACTCACTTCTCTGACAGTCCCTCGAATACAGACTCCTGTGGCTTCATAAGTTTGCGGATTATGTGCATTGAAGAACTGAAACTCAGAGTCAAAGTGAGGCCAAGTGCTACAGTACGAAGAGCAGTGAGTTTTAAGTTGTTCAGGGAGCCTTGAGAATTGAGGATGAAATAAAACACAGCTACTATGTCACTCTCAACATAAGCACAGATCATACACACACTGATGTAGAACACATACCTTGTGACAACTTTGTGCTTGTTGAGAATGATAATAAAAAGAAAATTGCAAACTGTGCACGTTACATTGTAAACCGTAAAATATAAAAACTTGTTAAACGTAAACATGTCAGAGAATAGTCTTTGGCTGAGAGAACAATACGGTACAACGAAGCAGAAAACGAGCAAATACATGTTGGATGAAAACCAGTGACTTCGAATCAACTTTGAAACGTTTGTCAAAACGGTCCAAGCGCTCGCACAATTAAACCTACTGTACATGAAAAAACAAAAGATTTGAATTGATGGCCACCATAAAGCGAGAATACCTAAGTACCTTTCGTATTTTTCGTATTTCGTATTCGTTCGTATTCGTATTTTTTGTTCATCAAATCGGAAAAAAGATAATCCCCCACTTGATATACCTACAGGGAGTGCTACCAGAGTGAGAAGCACGTAACCAAGACCAACTGCGAGGTAACGGATGCTTCTTCCAAATAGCCTTGTCACACAAACTATAATTCCGCCCCTGTGGTCAAATGTTGTTATATCAGTGTCTGTGTATATTGTATTGATTAGAGGTTGTAACTCACTTTCAATTTCCTCGCCGGTGATATCTTGTATGTTCTGTTCCTGATCCTCGTCAACTCTTTGGACTAGCCGCACATTTTCCTCGTTTCCTGCTGCAGATTCTTCATCGACTTGATGTGATATCGTCAAACAACAGAGTTTCTTCTTTCGTCTGAGCCATTCGAGCGTGATAATTGGACCCAAAAGAAACCAGTAGTAAAGTCTTTTTAGGTATTTTGCCATCTTGCTGAGCTCATCAGACCCTTGTTGAGTTTCTATGATATTTACAAATGTTTTGTCTGTAGCTTTAAGAAAATCATAGTTATGACTATATTCGAATCTGGTGCAATTGAACCATTGGCGAACAAACACAATGGGAATCAATATCTCCTCTTGCGTATGAGGTTTTGATACATTTCCATCTGGTCCACAATTTCCGTAGCCAAAATATGTCACCACAGAGTATCCGGCGTTCTGTGCATTAAGTGCTAGATCTCCACATGAAAAGTCCGCTGTATGATTCTTAAGCGTGACGAGAGCGATTTTGTCGACATGTATTCTTGACTTGCTTACATCAACTAGAGGTTGACGTGCATTGGCCAGTTTGGAAACCACTGCTAAGCCACTCAAACGAAGATCTTGGTCCGCATCAGCTTTCGATGCTTGCAGAAACGGTTCCAGCGAAGGACGATAATCATCTCCATTTGCAAACGGTGGCGGAGAGAGTTGGCAAACCACTTTCGGAACGCTTGCGAACGACAAAGTTGTTCTGCCAGATTGGAAGTGTGAATTGCAGGAAACGGGAGGCTGAGGTCGAAGAAAGAACAAGACATAAGCTGAGACAAGGTTCAGCAGGATGAGGAAAAAAGAGCTGCCAATAATCAAGAATTTTGCAGACATGCTGGCTATCAACGCAAAAGCGATCTTAGTCAAAACCTACCCTTGTAGAGGAATGCACAGCGTAGGACCATCATTGTACCGCTGACCGAAAATAATAAGGCACAACAGACAAGTTCTTGAACATTTATCAACATCTCAAGTATAGCTTTTTCATTTAGTATCAAATTTTCAACTCCTATTTTATCGAGTTTTCTTTGTCCAAAAAAGTATTGTTCTACTGTGGATATCGCTTCCACTGTTATCAGTGCTTCAAATACTCTGTACAAAAACAATACGTTAGCTGCTGTATTCTACACTCAGAGTCGGAGTGAGGCTTATTAAGTGCTGCCTAAAACAATGTAAAACACATACCCTGCAACAAAATTATGCATGTGGAGGATAATAGTACCGAGGAAATGGCGTACACGAAATCATAAGCAAGATTACAACTTAACAACCATTAATTAGAGTCCATTGACCCTTTACACCCTAACATCAGTATCTATACTCTCCATACTCTTCTCTTTACATTCCTTTGGTATTGATAAGGAGAATTCATCTAACAATCAAAACTTCTTAGGTTGGCAATCATTTCCTTTATCCTCATGATCTTAATTAATGACTCAGCAGTATCACTGTAAGGAGGAATCAAAGATGATCCCCTCTTGAGGTTTGGAGAGTTAACAGCCAAAGAGATACGGTTTTCATTGAAACAATTAGTTTTTAAAGTGTTTAGTCTTGATTTCCTTGCCTTATCTTTTCCTGCTTGAAGTTTGGTGATGTTACTTGAACTGTGGGATTCATTCAAAACTTCAAGCATCAAATTCCGGGAGTGGAAATGGTACAGGAGAAGGAAACCACCAATTAGTGTATTTTAACTGGAAGTTTTAGGTAACAAGGCATTTTAAGGGTGAAACAAATTTTAATCAAAAGATGTTTTTAATTGTAAATGTGTTAACTTTGTGTTGTGACAGGTTTTGTCTGCTGTCTGCACATTAATTCGTTCATTGCAGTTTATGTAATTGCTAAAACTTATGTTTAATCCTTTGACACCTAAGAGTGATTAACATCTAAGTTCTCCTTACAGTATCAACTCCAACAAATAAAAGTGATGAAAATTAGGGAAATGATCACCAATTCAAGAAGTTTATGATTGCCACACAAATTCTCCTTGTCATCACCATAGGAAATATACAGAGAACAGTGTGAAGAATATGAACACCAATGTACAGATGTAAAAGGTTAAAAGATGGCAAGTGCATCATTAGGAAACAGGAAAATAATACAAGTGAAAAAGGAGTATTTTACACTAGCATTTCTAACATATGAAAAACTTCGAAAAGCAATAATTTCAGTTTTTCCCTTTATTCTTTAATATTATTTCTATTAAAATCTTGGAGAGGGATACCTTATATTCCATTTAAAATACTTATTTAATTAAATTCTTGGATTGCATTAACCCTTTCTCTCCCAATATAAAAAAATCACTTCCTCTTCACTGTTCAAGGTTAAGTTGGAATATTGAGTCTTGATTATCTGAATGTGAAACTAGAAGTGTGTCTCTGTAACTAAGGGTTGTTAAAGTTATTAGACTAGAGTGTTTCCTTTTATTAAAGACTGATTTGTGAAAGGATGCCAATTTAGGTTATTAAAACAAGTTATTGTAGTACTCTGTATTCTCATAACTTGTGCAGAAACAGAGGAAAGAGAGGATTCTGATTGTTACCAATCAGTTGTATCATAGATGGTATATGAAGATCAAGAATGAATCTTTTGTAGGATACAAAATACAACTATTGGAATTGATTTCCTGTCTTATTTTTCAGAATTCAGCTCAATAGTTGAGAAAGGTTGAATGGATTTCAAAGGGTGCACCTGGTTTGTCTGTGTCAGATACATAACATTGTAACTTTAGTCTTAGACCTTAAATGGTGCCTGACCACTGACAACACATAAGACTGCCACAAGTAAGCTTCCATGAGCAGGATTTTTTTCCTACTCTGCAGTTACCATTTCATAAGGGAACAGTCACAGTACTGTAATAGAGTGCTTGTTATTCCAGCTAACATTCCCAGGTTTTTGGGAATACGGTAGTAAGTGTACTCCTTTAGGGACCAGGAACCTCCACCCCTCTATCACCTGGGGGAGGAGAGGAGTATTATTGGGGGGATCACAATGTTTGCAATGGGAACGGAAAGGGGATCAGTGGTTGCAAACACAGTATAAAGGGGACTAAAGAAAATAAACTGCCATTTAACAGCCAGCGAGGAGTGTCACAAAGCCTTATGGGGGAATCAGGTAAATTTAACCCCCTTCCCATCCGGCAGTAATAATCACCAGTCCCTTACCAATGTTTTAATGTTGTGCTGATATTCATGGCTCTTGTTCTCTTCGCAGGATCAACAGCATCATCCACGGAGTTTTTTGCTGGCGCCACAGAGTACATTTCCTTGGGAAGTAGGTCGATCTGTCTTTTGCCTGTTTTGAGAAAAATCTGCTCTTGTTAGCAAATTGTAAGTATACAAACTGTTTTCCGTATTAATAATGTTAGTTAGTTTTGATTTGCATCAGGAAAAGAGGATCGAACAATATGCATCGGAAAAGCGAAATGAGTCGCAGACAGACTGTAATGGGGCTGACGCTGACATAAATCAAATCAAACTTGAACAACGCCGCGTCGGGGAAATGTCTTATATTAACGGAACCTCCAAGCGTCTATCAGTCTCAACTGGTTTATTAATCACTGGAAAGCTCGTGAAAACTGAAATACAATAAATTAAAATAGCCCACTACCATACAAGAAACGCTAATCGAAATGTCCTCAACTCGAACACGCGGGGCGTGCATATAGATAAATCAAAACAACACAAATATCTAAAGCGAAACAAAACTACCTTTGATTAGACGCGTTTCGGTTTATAAATACAAGAATAAATAAGATGACATACCTCTTCCCCTGTTCTATTATTCTATAATTTAGACAATCCTTCGATCTGGTTATGCTTGCGACTAACACCTGTCTCGTGGCCGAATGAAACATAATGCCGACAATTCGAAGGTATGTCACACAAAACAAAACAAAAGGGTATTGAACGTCACGCAAATAACAAATAAAAATGGCCTTCGTTAGCACAGACAACCTAAGGTGTTCGTGACTGCGTGACGTCAGTTATACAGGTCTTCATTCAATCGCCCGGGAATCGTTCAAAGTTAATGTTCCGTACTCCGCGGCCGGTCAAAATATTTACATCGCCTATTCTTTAGGACGAGATGCTACTCTTAGACATAAAGATTTTGACATTACATATTCTTGCGGTGGTTTAAGTACTTAAATAAATGACCTCTTAAAATATTTATAAACTACACTGTCTCAATTTAGGTTGTTTACATACAAACATACATATAGCTGTATAAAGCTAGCTTACAGGTCAGTCACGAACAAAACAGATGAAAAAGCTTTATAATGATTTGAAAGTTAAATTCGATCCTATCTTTTAAATAATTGTATCCGCTGCCCTAAAAATACGGAATCTTATTCAAGAACGATCGAATAAAGATCTATATAACTGACGTCACGCAGTCATTAACACTTAATTTTGTGTGTCTGCGGTTCATTTCGCTTTTCCGATGCATATTTTAAATGCTGCCGTCTTCTGATCTATTGCACTGCGATTTATTCATTTGCAATCGTATTCATTAGATTAAAATAAAACACCTCAAGAATATCTAATTATCTTTTTGTGTTAGAGTAAAATAAACTCTGCCCTCAGAGTATGGAAAGATTCAAATAATTGACGTCACGCAGTCACGAACACTTTATGTTGTCTGTCTGCGGTTCATATCGCTTTTTCGATGCATATTTTAAGTTCTGCCGTCTTCCGGTCCATCTGCTTTTCCCGATGCAATTCAAAAATAGCTCACATTACAGGTACAGAAGTTCTTTACGTAAGCTTACAATTTGCGAGTTAAAAAGAGCACAATTGTTTTAAAACTCGACAGATCGACCAACATACCAAAGAAATGCAGCTTATGCAGGCGTCAGCTTAAAAGATTTCCTTGGAAGACGCTCAGTGTTGATCCTGTGAAGACATCAAGAGCCATGAATATCAGCACAACATCAAATTCTCCTTCGATCGATGTAAGGTTTTATCTGTTCACCCAGCTCGCCACAGGGATCTCCCTGGTGATTCTGTCGCCGATAACAGTCATTAGTAACCTCCTGTTATTACTGACTATTTACAAAGATCCTCTCAAATGTTTCCGTACACCAGCTTCGTATCTCATCATCGCTTTAGGCTGTGTTGATTTCACAACCGGTCTTGTTATCGAGCCTCTCTTCGTTGCTTACCGCCTGGCAAGTTATTTGAAATGGTCACTGTATCCAGGCCGATCATACGAAAGCCTGCTAAGAACTGGAAGTTCTATTTCCACCGTAGGCCTCAACTTGTCATTCTTGCTCGTTCTCG